AAAAAAAAAAAAAAAGGAAACATTTTTGGTTCAAAGGGGATACTTAGTATATACAGGCTTACATACCATTGATCAAAATTGTAGAACAATGTAACTCATTCATAAAGATAAATTCTTATTTATAAATTCTCTGTGAGTCTGACATACTCTGAAAATTAGAAATTAACTACTGCTACCATTATTTTTAAATTTTCTAACACAATTTGTAATCAACTTTTTTGCAAGAGTTAAAAAAAAAAATTAGGTGACATTTGACCAGCCAGGATTCAAAAAATAATGGTAACATATTATCAACAGAGCACACAGTTGGCTGTGCTGGCTCAGACAGCAACTAACTGAATCACATTGACTTTATCATTCTATGACAGATATTTTCCTCCAACTTTGTTCAAATCAGCAAAATGTTGTGTTACACTCCATTCTCAAGATATTTTTCTAAGAATAGTTATCTCTATGAATGTGTTGACGTTCATGAAAATGTCAGAATACCACTGTCTAATAAATCATTTTATGAATTTTAAGATACAATTTAGTTCAGATAACCTTCAAATTTACACAAATCTTTTGACACTTTAATATATTAGTAGAATGCTTCTCTTGATGGCATCAACATTGGCAAAATCTGATTTCCTCCTCAGTTTTGGTCTTTTTAGAAATCAAACATATTTAGCAAGATATTTTTATGTTTGAAACATTAAGACTTTCATGGAATTAAAATTACAAAAAACTTCCAATGAACCACATATACGGAAGAAACTCAGCAGATCTAATAACTAGTTTACAGGAATTCAGAGCCAGCCTGGGCAGCAGTATATTAAAAGCTATTGCCAATCACACATTTGCTATCATGCACTGAATAACAAGATATAATCTTTGAATTATATACGTACAAGATTTTTAATGACTAATCAAGTTATGTGGCCCAGCCAACAAATATTACATATTCACAATAAACATTCTGCCTTTATTAGCCTCTAATTAAATCAAGAGTGATCCATTGGCTCAGTTGTGTTAGTCATCTCAGCATCTTGACTATCCATCTCTTCAGGCTCCTCCACGGAACTTCCCTTTTGTGCTTTTGACCTTGTGACAAATGCTGCTCCCAGTGTATCTGCCACACAGCTATCAGTTGTTTCTGTATTCAAATTTTCAGTGCCACCAGTTAAAGAAAAAGATTCAGGCAAGCTAGTTTGAAGACTCCCAGACCTTGCAGAACTCACAACTTCTACTTTTCTTTGAGGAAGATCAGATGGTGACTGCTCTGTACTTTGATCCCGCAAGTGTTTGTCCATTGAAGCCTGAATAGAAGAAACCATTTCCTGCAATTTTTTTCGCTGGGCCTCAACCAAATCAGGATCAAGCTGCCTGCTGTCTCTCATTGTTACTACTCCTGGAGCTATTCGAATAAGCTCACTGTTACTAGGAGCAGCTGTGAACACAGGAGGCTCTGTTTTAGTGGAACTATTACTAAAGTCTGTCCCTATATTATGCTTTCTTACAACTGAAGTTTCCCTAGCTCTTGGGTCAAGATGTGGATTAGTGGATGCAGTTCCTAGAGAATGCCCCTTTCCCTGAAAGGCAGTTACATTATGAAGTTGCTCAGATTTCTTTTTCACTACTCCACCACTACCTAGTTTTAAAAGCCCATGTGAGGGACTTGATTCTCTACTTCTTGTAGTTGCCTCTGCTCGAACCTGACTTACAGCCTCTTTAACTAAATCTTCAACATCAGGACCGATGGGGAAATGTCCTGCAGCATCCACACACAACTCCAGTCTATCTTCAGAAGCATTATAGACAAAAGTTTTGCCAGGTAGATGTGGAAAAGTACAATGCTTGCCATCAGCCATACCTAAAGAAGGGGGAAAGATATTTAACATATTAAAATTATTAGCAAAAGCATTAAGACAATTTTGGTTAAAGTAGTGAAATTTCAATAACAATGTACAAGTAACAGTTTCAAAACAAGATGTATTAGAAAATAATTTATTCTATTACAAAAAAGTATATCACCATAGATCTTTTTAAAAAATATTTTTAAATTATACATGGACACAATATCTTTATTTTGTTTATTTTTATGTGGTGCTGAGGATTGAACCCAGTGTCTCACATTTGTGAGGCAAGTGCTCTGCTACTGAGTCACAACCCCAGCCTTTACCAGAGATCTTAAAGTAGTTCTCCCAAGGGATGTTTAAAAAAAAAATCATTATTTTATTAACAAAGTTAGGGGAAAGGCTCGAATCAAACAGCTAAGCTTATAAGGAAAATACAATGTAAAAAAATAATAAAAATATTTTTAATTACTCACATTTCAAATTATAATTTCAAATAAACATTTATTTCAATGGTAGGCAAAATATTAATAAAAATCCAAGTAGAATTTTCTCTTGACACACTTTCAACAGAAACAACTGACAAAAAATAAACAACTTGCAAAAATTAAAATCATGGGCAGTGTAGCTCAGTGGCAGAGTACATTCCTAGGATGGTGGGACTGTGGGTTTCATCCCAGAATGGCAAAAAAAAAAAAAAAAAAGTAGAAATAATAATAGTCAAAGATGTGTTCCAAATAGTACTTTTCTGGGCACATTCTGGATTCAGTTTACTATCTTCCAATGCCCTACCCCAAATATCTATTAAACTATGGATCCAGACACAAGGTGGCAAAGAGACCTTTGTAATTGTGGGAAGCTTTTTAACATCCACTTCAATGGATAATACCTATTGAGCCTCACTATGTTCCAGGAACTAAACCAGACTGTGAGGATTTAAAAATAAAATACTGTAATTCTTTGAAGACAGACAATATAAATAGATTATTAGAATACAACCAGTTAAGTTCAATGATGGGTATTCCATCTCCTCTCTCCTAATTATTTGAGGATTAAATAAGAAAGTATAAAAAGCACATACCTACAGTGCCTTATGTAAGTCAGGGAGTCAAAACATTTAATTCTTCTATTACATCAAAAAAGGTTTATAATAGTTTCCAGGCTGCTGCCATGATGCTTACCTTTGAAAGAGTTATGGTATCATACCATTCATCAATATAATTTACAATGAAATATAGGGAAACAATCTAACATTTCAACAAGAGAATGATTAAGTAAATTATGACGTATCTATTCAATATGCAGTAATATGCAGCTATTAAAGTTTATATAAACAAGAAAGTTATGATGCCTGTTGTATGCAGTAAAACAGAAATGAGCAAAGTGTTACTTGCTCATTTGTGCTGTAGAAATTAAGAAGGAAACAATGAATTCTGAAATGCTTTGTGAAAATTTAGGCAACTTCAATTTTATAAGATATTACAAATGGCTCCTCTCTCCCTGCAGAAAGTTAAGAGTGGTTCCAAAGTACCTCTTTGAAACTATTTCAAATAGTCAAGAGAAAAGAATTAATTTTCAAATAAATTGTTTAGGTTTTAAATAACTTACATAGTCCTTTGAATTCTAAGAATCAATTGCATTAAAATTTCTGTACTACATATCAATTCTATTACTCAAATATGCCAAAGACAACTTATACTAGTATTTATGGCTACACTGGTACCTTATATAAAAAAACTGGAAACCATCCAAAAGTCCATCAGCAGAACAATGGATAAATTGTGTTAAAATAATAGAATATTATGCAACAATGAAAATGAATGAACTATAGTTGAACTCATCAACATGGATGAATCTGAAAAAGTGCTGTACAAGTGCAAGTCACAGAAGAAGGTATATAATATAATTTCATTGTTTATAAAGTTTAAACATAAGCAAAGTTGAATATTACATAAAGAATACATACACCAGGGTTAAAACTAAATTTGCCATTCATCTCTGCATTTACCCCTGTACCAAGACCTGCAAGGAAACTACCACATTTTAAGCCAATTAATTTAAAAATACCTTTCCAAATATAAAGAATGGGAATAATAATAGTTCAGTGTTGTTAAGTTGGGCAATATTTTTACTCAAGTGTACAAATCATTATCTATCTGTTAGGGTGGATTTGAATGAAGAGAGGTATGTTCTTTGCCTATTTTGGAGGATAGAGGTATGGTACGCTTGGGGGTGAGGAAGGCTTGATATGCTTTCTTGTGTGTGTGTGTGTGTGTGTGTGTGTGTGTGTGTGTGTGTGGTGCTGGGGGTGGAACCCAGGGCCTCATATATGCAAGGCAAGCACTCTACCATTGAGCTATATCCCCAGCCCTGCTTTGATTCTTTGACCAAAAGATAATAATAAATTTCCCACCTGAATCTATCATTTGAAAAAGAGAAAATTTTATTACTAATACCAGGAGAAAGTATTTTGGGAGATAAAATAATTTTATGATGATGATCCATTTCAAATGTCTATGTTAGCCAGGCATAGTGGCAATGGCCTGCAGTCCCAAATACTCACGAGATTGAAGAGGGAAGATCACTTGAGCTCACAAATTTAATACCAGCCTGGGCAACATATGAAGACTGACTGTCTCAAAAAACAAAACAAATGAACAAAAAATGACTCTGTTACAGTCAAGATGACTCTGTTACAGTCAAGAGGAACTTTATGGGCTGGGGATGTAGTTCCGTGTTAAACCATATGCTTAGCATGTATGAGGCCCTGGGTTTAATTCCCAACACTACACACACACTTCCAACACCACACACACACACACACACACACACACACACACACACACACACACAAAGTTTAATTCTGTAATAACAACTGGATTAATCATAATCATAACAGCAAACATTTCCTTAGTGTTTACTAGGTACTAGGCCCTTTGTTAACCACTTTATAAATATGATCTCACTTGATCCTTACAACCCTGACATTATTATTATATCCCCTTTACAAATAAAGAAACTGAGATTGAAAAATCACAAAGGTGACAGAATTTGGATTGAGATATTCTGACTCCAGAGTTCTAAATCTTTATAAGGTTAACAATATACACAAACTTTTTTAAAATCAACAACTCTACTAAGGTAAATTCATCTACAATTCACCCATTGTAAGTTTAAAACTAAATGGTTTTTAGTATATTGAATTGTATGACCATCACTACATTTTTAGAACTTTTTCATCACCCCAAAAAGAAGCCTTAGCAGTGACTCTTGATTTCCTCTCACCTCTTAATCATCCTCAGCCCTAAGTGAACACTGGTTTATAGTCCTTCTAAGTATGCCTATTTTTAGTGCTCTGCTACTGAGTGCAGTGAAATTTCAATAACAATGTACAGGTAATAGTTTCAATTCTGTACATTTCATTTTATGGTCTTTTGTGACTGGCTTCATTCATATAGCATAATGTCTTCACAAACTATATAATACGTACCAATACTTCATTCCTTTTTTCTTTTTTTTTAGTTGTGGTTGGACACAATACCTTTATTTTATTTATATGTTTTTTTGGTGCTGAGGATCAAACCCAGGACCTTGAATGTACTAGGTGAGCACTCTAGCACTGAGCCACAACTCCAGCCCCCACTTCATTCCTTTTTTTTGATAGATAATATTCTGTTGTAAGCATACACCATGTTTTGTCATCAAAACTCACAGATATTTGCATTGTTTTCACTTTGGGATATTATGAATAATGCTACCAGGTTTTATGTGGACATATGCTTTCATTTCTTGTGGATAAACACTGAAGAACGTAATTGCTTTGTCATATAGAAACTCTGTTGAATCTTTTAAGGAACTATTATACTGTTTTCCCAAGTGGCTGTGCCATCTTACAACCCTACCAGCAGTGTATGAAGATTTCATTTTCTCTACATCCTTGTCAGTAGTTCTCATTATATGACTTTTTTTTATTACAGTCATGCTAGTGGTTTTGGGTTTTGTTTTCCTGATAAATTAATGCCTTTTCGTGTGCTGTTAGCCGTTTACATATTTTCTTTGGAGAGATGTCTATTTAGATCCTTTGTTCATTTTTTTTAGGTCCTGAATAATATGGTTATGTCTTTTTTTGCTGAGCTATAGAGTTCTTTATATTCTAGACACAAGTCCATTATCAGATACATGGTTTGGAAAATTTTTCTTCCATTCTCTGGATTGTCTTTATGTTTCCTTGATGATATCCTCTGCAAATACAAATTTGCTTTTTAGCTATCTACTTTTTGCTTTTGTCACTTATACTTTCAGTGTCAGCATATCTAAGAAAGTTTTGCCTAATCTGGGAGGTAAAGAAATTTTACACCTATGTTTTCTTCGAAGAGTTTTCTAGTTATAGCTCTCACACTTTGGTCTTTGATCCATTTTTTGAGTTAATTTTGTATATGGTGTAAGGTAGAGGTAAAACTTCATTCTTTTGCACACAGATGTCTAGCTGTCTTGGCATCATTTGTTGAAAAAGTTATTCTTACCCTAGTGGATGATCTCAACATCACAGCTAACATTTTAAAGCTAATTTCAAACTAAATATATAAAACAATTTAGAAAATAATCAAAATAGTTACCCAGCTCCAACCCCCTCCCATATACAAAAAAACTGAGGGAAACTGTTTTCAGTTGCATAAGCTTCCTATAAACAATTCTAATCAAAAACTAACTTGTAGAAAACCACTACTTGGTATCAAAAAATTTCAGCAGAATCATGTGAAAGATAAAAGGGTAAAAAAGAATGCAAAAAAAGGTGATGCTTATACTAGAAAATAAAATTTACAATCAATAACCTAAACTTCTATTTAAAGAACCTGAATGGGGAAAAACAGGGAAGAAAAAATAAAAACAAAAGCAGAAATCAATGAAACTGAAATCAGAAAAAAAAACCCTATGAATATAAAAGTCAATTCTTTGAAAAGATCAATAGAATTGATAAAACATTAAGCCAAGTTAAAAAAAAAAAGAGGCATAAATTGCCACATGAGACATGAAAAAGCTACAGACCCCACAGACATTGAAAGGACAACAGGTAGTATAAGCAACTTTATGCCAATATATTTGATAACTTATACAAAACATATCCATTTCTTACGAAGCAAAACTAACAAAGCTTACCCAAGAAGAGATAACTTGAAGAGTAGTCTGTTAAAGAGATTAAATTCATCCTTAAAACTGCCCAATAGGGGCTGGGGTTGCGGCTCAGTGGTAGAGCACTTGCCTCACATATGAGAGGCACTGGATTTGATCCTCAGTACCACATAAAAATAAATAAATAAAATAAAGATATTGTGTCCATCTACAACTAAAAAAAATATTTTTTAAAAAACTGCCAATAAAGAAAGCTCCAAAGTTAATGTAACTGATGAATTCTATTAAACCATTAAAAAAAGAAGTAATATCAAAGCCACTACAAAATCTAGTAGAAAACAAGAGGAAGGAATGCTTTCCAAAACTACTTTAAGAAGTCAGTAGTACCCTGGTTAAAGTTATTACAAGAAAACTATACACTATTATCCCTCATAAACATAATCATAAAAATACTCAATGAAGTATTAGCAAATTAGCATGCAAAGTTTGTTAAACATTCAAAGGTCAATCAAAGTAATTTGCCCTCTCAAGACACTGAAAGAGAAAAACTATATGATCATCTCAATAGATGTGGAAAAAGAACATCTAACTAAACTCAACATTTATTGTTGACAAACTTGGGAAAAGAAGGGAATGTATTCCATCTTACAAAGGGTATCTCTTAAAAATCCACAGGCTGAATGGTTCCTTTCAGGATAAGAAACAAGGCAACAAGTCTGCTTTCATCACACCTATTTCACACTGAACTGAAGGTCCTAGTCATTTCAATAAGGCAAGAAAAATAAAAGGCATACAGATTGAAAAGGAGAAATAAAACTGTCTTTTATTTGCAAAAGACATGATGACCTATAGACAATTCCAAAGAATATTTGCTAAAATAAAAAACTACAAGAACTAATGTGAAGGTACAGGTCAAGAAATAAAAACAATTTTATTTCCATGAACTAGCAATGAACACCAGAAAAACTTGATTTTTTTTTAAAAAAAGCATCTTTTATGACAGCATCTGAAAAACCATCAATATTTAGGTATAAATCTAACAAAGTACTTGAGATCTGTATGCTAAAAAAATTACAATTTTGATGAAATTAAGACTTAAGCAGAGAAACATAACAGTTTCACGAACTGGAAGTCTCAATGTTGTCAAGGTATCAAGTATCCCTGATTTGATCTACATATTCAAAGTAATCACAATAAAAATCTCAGCAGACTTTTTTGTAGAAATTGACAAGCTTATTCTACAACTTATACGGATAAACAAAGGACCCACAAAATCCAAAACTATTTTGAAAAAGACTAATTCACAGTGACTGATTTAAAGAATTATTATAAGGATACAATAATTAGAATATGGCATTGATGAAAGGAAAGACATAAATCAACAAAATAGAAAAAAGATTCTAGAACTAGACCCACACATATGTGGTCAATTTTTTAGAACTAAATTATTGAGGGTATATTTTGTATATGATATTAATTCATGCTTTTTAAGTGCACAATTCAGGGTCAACTGTTATTTCTGACAAAGATGCCAAAGTAACTCAGTGGATAAAATATAGCCTTTTCAACAAATGGTGCTGGAACAACTGAACATTCATACATAAAAAAATGAAGCCTGACTCATACTTTGCAACAAAGTAAAAAAATCAATTTGATTTTATTTTTAAGATAAATATTTTATGTTTACCATCTAAAAGATATTTGAATCAGGGGCTGGGGTTTTGGCTCAGCGGTAGAGTGCTCGCCTAGCACGGGCAAGGCCCTGGATTCGATCCTCAGCACCACATACAAATAAATTAATTAATTAAAAATATTGTATCCAACAACAACTAAAAAAATAAATGTTAAAAAAAATATTTAGGGGGGGGCTGGGGTTGTAGCTCAGTGGTAGTGCGCTCGCCTAGCACATGCGAGGCCCTGAATTCGATCCTCAGCACCACATAAAAATAAATAAACAAAATAATTGTATTAAAAATTTTAAAAAGACAGATAAATCTCAAATGAATGTTAAAAGAGAAATAGGGCACACACATGCTCATTGTCTCATGCCTCATCGTCTCATTGCCATGTGATGGCCTACATGGTCTCAGGACTTTGCCAGCAAGAAGACCATAATCAGACTTTAGACCACAGATATAAGGATCCTCAACCTTAGGCCAGAACCATGAGCCAAAATAAACCTCTTTCCTTTATAACTAAAAAACAAAACAGACATAGGCAAAAATTTTTATTAAGGGTAACATGATAAATATTTTAGGTTTTGTGGATTATAATGTCTCTGTCACAACTATTCAACTTTGGGCTGGGGTTGTAGCTCAGTGATAGAGTGCTTGCCCTAGGTCCAATCCTCAGCATCACATACAAAGATAAATAACTAAAAGAAAGGTACTGTGTCCATCTACAACTAAAAAAAATATTTAAAAAAAACCCAACTATTCAACTGTCACTATAGTGCAAATTGCAACTACAGACAACATGTAAACATGATTATGGCTGTATTCCAACAACACTATACACAGTGGGCAGCAGACCTGATATGGCTCTCTGGCCATGGTTTGTCAATTCTTGTGCTAAATTAAGAAAGCCAAACACAAAAAGGTTACACTAAGTGATTCCACTTATATGGTAATGTGAAAAAAACAAACACATACTCAAAAAACAAATCAGTAGTTGCCAGGGAATGAAGATAAGGGAGGAGAGCTGACTAAACGTAGCAGAAGACAACTTTTTGGAGTAATGGAAGTATTCTGTATCTTGAATGTGGTGGTCACATGACCATACATGTTTCTCAAATTTCATGTACAGACTAAGCAACCCAAATCCAATAATCCAAAATCCAGAATGTTCCAAGATCCAAAACTTTTTTGAATCCCAACACAATGCCACCAATGGAAAATTCCAAATTGTGAAACCCTGTCTCCTGTACAAAATTATTTAAGATATTTCACAAAATTTCCTTCAGGCTATGTGTATAGGTATATATGAAACACAAGTGAACTTTGTATTTAGACTTGGGTCCCACACCCAAGATATCTACTATAAATGTGCAAATATTCCCAAAATTTAACAAAAAATCCCAAATCTAAAATACTTCTGGGCCAAATAATTTCAGATAAGTGGTATTCAACCTAAGATGAATTTTACTATATATATTATGTCTCAATTATAATATCTTTTAAAAAATAAATAAAGAAAGAAAAGCATTCTTTGGTTTTTGATTCAAATGAACAAAAAAAACACCATTTTTTGAGACAATAAAAAAATCAAATATCAATGAAATTTAAACAATAAATGACTATTTGATGATACTAAAAAATTATTGTTAAGATGGCTGGAGTTGTAGCTCAGTGGTAGAGCTCCTGCCTAGCATGTACAAGGCCACAAGTATAAACCCCAGCACCACATTAAAAAAAATAATAATGAATAAATAAAATATATGGTTGTTTATATTTTAGATGTGACAATAGTATTATGATTATTTTTTAGAAGAAAAAAAAGCATTTATCTTTAGAGATACATACTTAAGTATGTCTAAGATTTACTTAAAAACAGTTCAGTTAAGAATGGGGTAAACGGTGCATAAATAGGATTTCACTGATGTTTTTTCTACTTGTGTGTATGTTTGCACATTTCTATAACAGCCAACTTGGAGGGATTTTTTTCAAAGAAAGAAAGAAAAAAACGTGTACAGGAAGAATTGAAAATAAAACAGATTTTACCCTTCCTATCTAACAAGGCCAGACCGGTAGGTGAAATAGTAAGATAAGCCAATGATAAATCCAGGGACAAAAGCATTCATGTCCAATCTTTAAAAAAAATGTGTGAGGTTGAAAAACATGCCCTGGCAACTTCTTTCTTCAGACTTTAAAACTCTGAAGGCACAGTTTGACAGATACATAAGAATACATATATCTTTATAAATAATAAACACACAATGTCTAAGAAGTTAAATGTAAAATGGGCTATTTCCTAAAACCTAGAAAGCAATGAAATATAATTATGGCTAAAACACAAAAACATCAAAGATACTACATTATCTGGATCTGGGATAGTCACCAGCATTAAAACAAAATATGATTCTAATTTCACAACTTGTCTTTTAGTTGTTAAGAATCATATATATAATTTAAATTAGAAAATGGAAGCAAGGTAGTGATAGGAATTTTTCGTAATTTTGTAACAGAACAGAAAACCAGCTAACTATGTCAGGAAAGTTATCCAATTTAACTAGGCAGACTGCTAAAGAACTGTATATACTTAAAATTTAATTTTGGAAATACACACACACACACACACACGCACACACTTTTTCCTTTTTAAACAGGGTGTCCCTATGTTGCCCAGACTGGCCTCAAACTTCTAAGTTCAAGTGATCCTCCTACCTCAGCCTACTAATAAGCACCTCGGACCACAGGCAGGTGTCACTATGCCTGGCTAGAAATATTTTCAATAGAATACTATTTGAACTTTCTTAATCTAATAAAAGCTCAAGTGGAAATATTATTTAAGAAATATTATTTAAGAATAAAATGAGGAATTAACTATACCCATGGTTTTCTTCATAATATTGTAGAATACGCCACCCTGCTGAAACATGTGAGGAAGTCCCTTTGCATAAGACCATACATCTTCACCTGTAAGACAAAAACAGATAACAGTTTAAACAACAACAACAACAAAAAAGAGGTTGTTGTCCACCCAGGGTTGCTTTAATGCAGATCACACTAGAACAGAAATTTCAAGACAGAACTCCTGAGTGAAGCTTCCAGGTGCACATACAGAAATGATATAGTGGCACCCTAGAAAATGAATGAACCATTTAAAGGTGGCAGCCACTGCCAAGTACTATCATAGAAGAGTACAGACCCACTGTTTCAATACCATGGAGCTTTTTAATAGAGGCCAGAAATTAAGAAAATTTTACTCCTGTAGAACTGGTGATTGAATCCTGTACCCACGCATGTTAGGCAAGCACTTCATCACTGAATGACATCCCTAGCCCTTTTTTCATTTTGAGACAGGAACTTCATAAATTGTTCAGCCTGACCTCAAATTTGCAATTCTTCTGCCTCAGCCTCCCAAGTATCTGGAAGTACAGAACTGCATCATCACATCCAGGAAATCCAAATTTTTAATATGTAGGAGCTAATTTTAAAATGTCTTTAAAACTGCATGAGTTGACTTTGCATATTAAGCAAATGTATCTGAAAAGTCAATCCAGCTCAACGGAAACTAGTTTTCAAATTCTGGACTAGAACAGAAAAGGTTATAAAAAGATATCTATTTTTAAAAATAAAATATAAAATTGAATATTTTATATTTATGTTAAAAAAAAGTAAAAATAAAAAGAAGGGGCTAGGGAGAAAAACAGACTGCACACAAATAATTAACATTGTATTCTGTTGTTCTAAAGTTGACTATAAAAATAAAAATTTAAGAGAAAAATTATTTGTTGAAGATATTCAGAATAATCTTTAAAAGGCCATAAAATATCCACAAACCAACTATTATTTCACAAAAATATTTTTTCCAAAAGCATCCTTTGATATTATCTATTTTAATAATAAGTTTCAAACAAAAAGTTGAGAATGACTAGCTGGGGATGTACCTCAGTGGTAGAACATAGAGCACAGGCTTAGCATGCACAAGGCTCTGAATTCAATCCCTGGCCACCAAAAAAAGTTGTGAATCAAATGTATGGGAAGATGATATGTCATGAGATTTGTAATGTTTTGAACAACCAATAAAAATAAATAAATAAATAAATAAACAAAAAAAAGTTGAGTATGATAATCACCTTTGAAGAGTCAAAAAATGAAAAGGGCATTAAAGTTAACTTCATTTGTGGAATATGGTTGTCTTTATTTGCTTCTTTATACTTTCATGATTTTCTAACCTGTTAATGTACATGTAAGCACTTTTATTATCAGAAAATTTTTAGTTAATTTTAAGAAATAAATTGTTAAATTATCTTTGCTACAAGATTTGACTTAAGCTTTAAATGAGAATAATAATCCTAATTAATCACTATATACTTATAATCTCTCTTGAGTTCTAATCTCTTCCCACATTCATAAACAGAAATATGAATTTGTATGGTAATTGGCTAAAGTTATCCTCAGCATAATATACACAAATTTAGAAAGTCTCTCGGCACTTAAAATTTTTTAAAATTTCAGTTAACCAAAACATTTAATTACACATACACACTTTATTTAATACTAATGATGCAATACTATTACTAGAAGAGTCATATTTAAGGGTAAGACACAGATGTTTCATTAAATTTTTTGAATATTAATAACTGCCCATATACAGAAATATGAATAACTACTCATAAAAACTCTGATTGCTGAACTTATCATTAAATTTCATTTGGATACATTATTTTTGTGGCAATAACCATTCATTTAATTATTGTTAATGTTATTATCAAGATACTCAGTATTCTCTAAAATACTTTAGTATATCATTTATTAGGAAAACATTTTAAAAAATGGTTGTGCTTATTTTTTTTGGTAAGAAACTGAACAGGTACCAAAATGATAACCCATTCAGAACTGACCACTGTATACTAACAAGAAAAATATCATTTTTACTACTTTACCCACTTTACTTCGAATGCATGGATATAATGTGTATATTTATTTATACTGTATGCATAGCTTAATTTTAATTATTAGGGTAAGTTTTTTGCTTTTACCTTCCCTTTGCTAAGAACCAATTTTTACCACCTTCAAATTTATGGTAGGATAAGTCCCTTATCCTCCTAAGCTTCTATTCTCTACCTGTCTCTGAGAAGACACTTTTTATATAGCTTCATTTACTCATCACAACTAAGCTGTACTTTACTGACATGGAAACAAATTCAGATTACTTTAAAAGCTCTCCCAAGAAAACACAGCTAGTAAGTGGCAGAGTTAGGATTTGAATTGTTTATCATTCCTAAAGCTTATGCCTTTTTCATTGATACTAAACCTCCACTAGGGACCAAATATTGTTAAATTTGACAGCACATCCAGTCTTTTTTTAATAGAAATTATGGTATCAACAACTGGTTCAAGGTGGGGGAAAAAAAAAGTCAATCACTTCCTTTGGTTATACAAATACTTCCACTAGAGGTCAAATTTGGCAGCACATGGATGGTCTTATAGAAATCTACATCAACAACTTGTTAAAAAAAAAATAAGTGAATTATTTCCTTTGGTATACAAATACCTTCAATGAAGTCATGTTTACTGGTAATAGAAATGACAAAAGGGGGCTGCAGTTGTGGCTCAGTGGTAGAGCACTCGCCTAGCACTACAAGGCCCTGGGTTTAGTCCTCAGCACCACATATAAATAAATAAATAAATATATTGTATCCAACTACAACTAAAAAAAATAAATATTAAAAAAAAAAAGAAACCAAAAAAGGGATCAAAGATCAGATACTTAGCGCAAGTCCACCAGAGTCTCACACTTCTCTTCATCCCTTCTACTACTACTGTTCTGATCAGGCCTTGTTTTCTACTTAGATTACTGCCACTACCTCATATGTGATTTTCCCTTGAGTCTTATGCTCCCCAAATCCATCTACCAAACAGCCTTCAGAGTTAAACCTTTACTGGTTTCCCAAACCCACATGGTAAAGTTCAGGTTCCTTTCTCATGGCATAAAAAGCGCTGTGGAAGAGTTGACCCTTACCTGCTGTTCCACTTCACATCATACCTAGTCTTGATTTTTATAAAGCAACAAAACCACATGGCTCTAATTCCCTAAAGGCCAATAATTGTTATACATTCTTTAAAACTCAATTTAGGTGTCATTCCCTCTAGGTTTTTCTGAGAGATAGTTACATAGGTCTCCTTCTTTGAGGTTCACATGTACATTAATACCTTAGACCCTATCATACTGCAGGCTAATTTAGTTTACTTTTCCTCTTTCTCTTTCTAAACTAAAAAGATTTTCAGATTCAGGGCAAGGTCAGTGGCCTATCAGATTTTCCATTCCCAAGACTTGACACAGTGCTGAATAGCATAACAATAGCATTCTTAGTAATGGTTGAATGAATGTATAGAAAGAATATTACAAATGAATTTTTTTATTTTAAACAATGCCTGAAAGCAATCCAGAAAAAACTTAACTGAAGCAGCATACTGATAACTGTTTTTTAAAGTATACTACAAAACAATTAATAGTACCATCTGTTTTCAAGAATCTAATAAACCAAAATAATAGCAGAAACAAAGTGACAATAATTTTTTCTACCATTTCACTAGAAAGCAACTCTTACAGAATAGGAATGGTATGGTAACATCTCTATCAAATATGTTAATGCGTATTTTTCTACTATAGTCTTCAATTAGTTTTACTTTATAATTTAACTGTTTCTTCAAAGAACAACAGTAAAATTCTTCTTTCCAATGTATTCTATTTGTATATAAATATAGAAAAAATATCAAATATGTTAATGCGTATTTTTCTACTATAGTCTTCAATTAGTTTTACTTTATAATTTAACTGTTTCTTCAAAGAACAACAGTAAAATTCTTCTTTCCAATGTATTCTATGTGTATATAAATATAGAAAAAGGAGGCTGATTCATAGTGGGATAGGGAAAGGGAGCATAGGAGGAATAGACGAACTCTAGATAGGGCAGATGGGTAGGAGGGGAAGAGAGGGGGCATGGGGTTAGAAACGGTGGTGGAACGTGATGATCATTATTATCCAAAGTACATGTATGAAGACACAAGTTGGTGTGAATACACTTTGTATATAACCAGAGATATGAAAAATTGTGCTCTATATGTGTATTAAGAATCGTAATGCATTCCACTGTCATATATATATATATATAAAATAAATACATATATAAATAAATATAGAAAAAGTCTATACCACCACCATACCACCATAAATGATTTCTGTTCACACCTTGTCTCCCACCAGTCTTTCCTTCTACATCTTTGAGTTCTACCTAAATAGTGGTTAAATATGGTAATGGTATTATGATGTTTTTTCCTTTCATTTATCCAATTTTTTCCCATTTGATAAGAAATATTTTATTTTTTTAAAAAATTGTTTAAAAAAATTCAAAATATGTTTCCTAACTTTTTCTAATAACCAAATGGGGTTAAAAGTGAGTTTAAAAGGCCATCATACAATTTTCAAATTTTAAATATTTAAAGGCAATTTGGGGGAAGATTATGGGAAAGGAAGGAATGGAAAAGGGATGGTTAATGGGTAGAGAGAGAAGTTGAATAGGAGAAATAAATTCTAACTTTGTGCAGCACAGTGGATAGCTATGGTTGACAACAATTAATTGTTCAATCCAAAAGAGCTAGTAGAGAGGATTCCCAACACATAAAATAAAACATGACCTAGGTGATAGGCCAATAATTGTGATTTGATCATTATACATCGTATACATGTATTGAAATGTCACCTTGAGCACCATAAATATGCACAATTACTATGTGCCAATTAAAAATAAAAGTATATTAAATAAATAAAAAGGCAATTTGAGGTTTCTACTTTGCAATTTATGAAGTAAGGTAGTAAATTTCAAAATCTAATGTTTGTATGAAATATAAAGCTCCAAAAGAAATACTTAAAACTCTAAAATCAAGTATCTACCATCATAAAATAAACA